TCATTGACAAGTTCAATTTTTTTAGACAATTAATTATGATATTCTACTTAAATTTTCCCACAAAATATAATAAAACAGGGAAAAAGGTTTAATTTATATAAGCTCTGATTTGAAAGTAAGATTAAACAAGGTGCATATTGTATAATACAAATACAGAAACAAGAGATATAATCATTGACTCAGACAAAATTTAAACTTTTCCTTTCAATTAAAAATTTATTCAATAATTCATACAACAAATGTTGCTGGCAAAGCTTGTGCAGATGTAAATCTTTATAAAATATCATATTAAATATGAAATAATTTAATCCAGCATAAAAAAGGCAGATAATCTATCAAATCTAAATAATTTTGTAAAAATAATTTTTAACTTTTTAAAACACGATACATATGCACATACACACTTCTCTCTATTAATTTTAACTCTTAAAATTACTGTACATATTCATTCATTAAACTGAAAAATGTAAAGATTTTAGAGTGAAATGAAGTTATTTCTAAAAGAAACAGGTAAAAAAAATAAAGAAAAAGTCACAAAACAATTTAGTTTATATTCTTCTTTTTCTTAAATGTAATATTAATTTTTTGGCATTTTTCTATTACTTTAACTGAAGATTTGGATTAAAATAACATTTTATAGGGGAGGGGTTCAGAGACACAAAATGTCTTAATGGCAAATTTTTTTCTTTCATTTAGAAAGAATTAGAATTTTTCTTTGTTCTATAAAGCATAATAAAGAAGATATCATCTTTGTTAATGGGAGTAATAAATAACTTATTTAGTTTTTTTTGCATTAGTTTTATTACACACACACAATTTTGTAATATATTTTTAAATCAATAATAATGAATTTTTTCAGCATTTAATAAAAAAAAGTTGTATAAGTTTTTCTTTGAAGCAAATTGTGAAAGTTTTCACTGAAGAAATAAATTTTACAATTGCATAGCTTTAGATGTAAAAAACTATTTTTCAACAATTAATTGCAATACTACTTATGACTTTTCATTACTTCTATTGATATATACACATACACACATTATGTCATAATAATTATTTTTGTGATATGTAAATTTCTTTTATATTAAAAAATCATAAATAATAATACATGTGCACACTTATAGATATCTAAAAAGAAAAAGATGGTTATTGGAAACCTTACTCAGCAAACAAAGCAGAACAATAATAAAAATAATAATTTTTCTAAAAAATGAGAAAGTGTTTATGAACCTGTTTTCACCATACCTGTTTCAAAAGTTCATTGATTCGTTCAGTCAAAACATTAACCCTCTCATCATTATTTTTAATTTGTGGAGGTTGAGTTACCTAAAACAAAGGTAATTCTTTTAGATATACATACATCTTAAATTCTTTAAAAAAAATAACAATTAATGGCAATTAACAATTACCATTGAATTCATCAATAACTAATTTCAGGGGAGAAGGAAATAGATGTTACTGCGATAAAGATAGTGATGATAATACACTCCTTCACAATGCTGCTCGGGAATGTTCAAAAGTGTGTCAAACCGAAAAAAAAGCAATAAATTGCTATAAAAAAATGGAGGCAAAGATTTATACTTACATTTGATTCCTTACTGCTGAGAGCTAATCTTTGTCTAGCTCGTTTTATGCGTTTGTCAACATCTGACAGCATACTTTGACAAAAACGTAGAAAGTCTTCTTCATAGCCCATCTTTTCAAAGCGTGAACTTTTTTCATACCTGTAAGTGATCAAAATTGCATTCAATAAACAAAACAGTGCTGTGATTTAGACAAAGAGAATGATAAAACCTAATACTTTCAAACAATATTTTAAAATTCAAATTTTGTATTTCAAACAAATAAAATTCTTTTATGAATGTCAATCTAAAATTTAAAATAAAATCATCACAAGATCTTTCACTTTAAAAAAATATATTTTTTTAAATATAAGAGAAATAAATGTATCTATAATATTCCACATGAACAAGAAATAAGTAAATAAAAATTATAAGTAATCTATAAATACCTTAAGGACAGAAAAAACATTATTTCTATTTAATACTTATAAGTAACACCCAAATACCTTATGGTTCTAATTTTTTTTTTTTGTTGCAAAAAACCAAAGCCCCATTATCACATATTTGTTTCAAGGCAGAATTTAAAGTCATAAAATACATAAATCTAGCATAAGATACTTTCCAGTTTCTTTAAATTAAAATATTGAGCTCATAACTATTCACACAATTTAAGCAACAAAATAATCCTTATTAGAAACAAATGCTATGATATAAATAAATATTAAAGAAAATACATAAAACAACAAATAATTTTTTGGGTATTACTTTAACACATACTGTATTTGAATTTCTAACATACAAGGAGAGGGCACGACTAAGGAAATTCATTAAGGGTCGAGACTTGGTGTAATAGAAGTACTCCTTTAGGGTGTTCAACCCTCAATGTAATTCAGCCGAATGGCCAGTCAATTCGGAGAAAAAAGCCTTCGAAATTCATGCTTAGCAATTTCCTCCAACGATTTCGTAGTTTGGTTGATATATCGTCTGCATACTATACACAAGGTCTGGGTTCGATTCATCGGTCAATTTTTTTCATTTCATTTAATTATTTTTAAAATTAAATAAACTTATTTATGAAATGTTTATTAAATATTAAATGATATTTTATGTAATTATTTTATATTTTATAAAGTAAAAAAATACTGTAACTATATAAATATTTATATTAAATTTTATATAAATATTTATATTAAATTTTATATAAATATATTTTTTTATTAATAAATAATATTTATAATAAAATATATAAAATAAATATTAAATGATATTATACATACTAAAAATAAAATATTATATATATAATAACATAATTTATAAAGGATATTATTATTAAATTAATCATTTTACAGTTAATATAATAAAAATATCTCTTTTATATATTATTAATTTAACTATTTTATAAAACTTTTAATAAGTCATTTTTAAATAAATTTAAATAATTTTTTAAAAAATAATAATTTTAATAAAAATTCTTAATTAATTTTAATTAAAAATATTTTAAATAATTTTAATTAAAAAATATTTTAAATAATTTTAATCAATCATTACTTTAAATAATTTTAATCAACAATTATTTCAAATAATTTTAATAATAAATCATTTAAATAATAAATTTACTTAATTATTTTTACTTCATAAAATACAAAAAAATTACATTAAATATCATTTAATATTCAATAAGCCTTTCATAAATAAGTTAATTTAATTTAAAAAATAATTAAATAAAATGAAAAAAAAAATTGATCGATGAATCAAACCCAAACGTCGCACATAGTATGCAGACGATATATCACCCATCTACGAAATCGTTGGAAAAAATTGAAATTTAATTGTATGAAAGCTAAGCATGAATTTCGAAGGCTTTTTTTCTCCGAATTGACTGGCCATTCGGCTGAATTACATTGAAAGTTGAACACCCTAAAGGAGTACTATTATTACACCAAGTCTCGACCCCAAATGAATTTCCTTAGTCGTGACCTCTCCTTGTTAGATCAGAATAAATTTGACTTGTATATTTATAACATGGAATTTATTTATATTAAAAAATATTTTTACTCATTACAACTTTTATCACATTAATTGTACATTTCAAATAGCAAATCCAATGCTCACACATAAAAGTTTAACAATATATTTCTAATAACCATCAACAAATAATCAAATGCAAGTTATAAGCATAATTTTTTTTTCTTCTTTCAATTACAAATCTAAATTTAAATCTTTAAATTTCAACATAGTAATTCATCCACTTAGTTTAAATAAATACTTTATTTCAATTTTACACACTAATTTGATGCTTCAATGTGAAGCCATAACCCCATATTTTGACTTGTGCATCAGTTCCTCTTGAGTTATAAATGCTTTTCCCCCAATTTTTTTAGCATTTCAGGTAATTAAATGCTTCATAAACAGTTTTGAAAATATATTATTTGCAAATATATATAGTGAAGATCAAATATTATAGTATCTACATCAGTTAATTTTCTTAGAAGGTATTAAATCTAATTTAAATGAAGGCGGTCTTAATAAAAGCATGAAGAGATTGCACTAACCAGGGATATAATGTTATGGTAAAGTAAATATCATTGTATTAATTTAATATATATTAAATTATGTAAGGATATTACTGTATTTATTCGAATCTCAGTCACCATCAATTCTAAGCCCCATCCCAAATTCTCAACAAATTTTTGTAAAAAATGAAAAATAGCGTAAAATGGTTATCAAAATCCAATTTTACAAAATTAAAATAAATTAAAAATAAGAACTAATAAGAAGGGAAATTCTTTTGATTTTACTAATATTACTATCTTTTAATTACATACAAGAACCTGTAATTGCTCTAATTGCCCCATCCAACAATTTTTTTCCCCTCGAAATTTCAACATATATTTGTTTGCCTTAGAAAAAGTTTACCAATGGTCGTTAGGATGATATCAAACATACGTATCTTTTTTTTTACATTTGCAGCTTGTTTTCCCCTCTACTTAAAACAAGTAGACATAAAAGGTAAAATCTCGGGCAATTAATCAATCGATTTAAAAACATCATAAAATCTTTAGAAAAAGGCATTTCTGAATTATTTACTTAAAAGTGAAACTCTGATTATTAGAAAAAATTACTTCTCTAATTTAATGCAAAAAGTAATATAAATTTTTTTTAAAGAGAATTCCTACATTGGTCAACAAAGGAAAATTTTTATTTTAGTCACTTTTTATTAAATAACTACAATTAATATAAATGTGTACATACACATGACAGAATCACAATTTTAAGTGACAAAATGGAGAAAGCGATTTTCCTTGCAATTTTCCATTTTCCTTTCAATATAGGGTGTTGGACTATTTTTTGTTTGTTTGTTAATATTTATTTATTAATTATATTTAATTATTCTAATAAAATAGTATAGTAAAAAAGAAATCACATTCTCAGAAATTAGGCCGACCCAGGTGGGATTCGAACCCACAACCTTTGGATTAAAAGTTCAATGTGCTATCCATTGCACTATAGGGACACAATGAACGATTTTACTTTTTATACATGCGGTTGGACAATTTTTTTTGTTTGTTACTATTTATTCATTTTCCTAATTAATTAATATTTGAAAAAACTGTATTAACATCAAATGTCATCCACTACAAGTTTAAAAAAATGTATTTGAATTTGAATGGATGAATACAAAATATTTTATTCATGATTGAAAATTTGAATGAGATATATAAATATATATATATAAGGAGAGAGTGAATTAATAGTAGGAATTGAAAAATTATGACCAATGTACTAATTTAATATACTTTACTAAGCAATTTTAAACAGGTAAACACTCTTGGTGATTTTTTTATTAGTTCTATAATTCCCAAAAAGTAGCTTATTTGTAAAAGATTTTGTTAGGAAATGACAAAGCATATTTCATTACAAATAATAATAATAATAAATTTAATAGACTTCAATAAAAAAAAAATTATGACTGATATTCATACTTTTTGAGTGAATGATAGCTATTGATTGAAGAGTACCTAAATTTTATCTAGTAATTTTAAGTAGTAGTAATTTCTAGTAATTTTATCCAGTAATCTATTATATCAATTAAACAAAACAAATTTTAGAAACTTAAAAAATTAAATTAACAGTTCTTTAAATAATTAAAAATAACACAACAAGAAGTTTAAAACTATTAACATAAAAAAGAAATTAAACAGAATTTTTTTAAAAATTAGCTATTCTTACTTGTTGTTTGTAAGAAAGAGACATTTTTAACATAATACATATCTGAAATATATATTTCAAACATTCCTTGTTCACTCATTAATTTCATAAAGAAACTTAACTCAGTGGTGCGACATCCCATGAAGGACAAGGCCTACTGTGCTCAACTCAGTATACACCACCTTGGGCCCTGAGTAGGTGTTTCGGTCAGGTGGTCAGTCTGATGCGAAAACCCCTAGTGTTAAGTTCCCATTTTATCGACTCATTGAAGGGATGAAAGGCTAAGTCAACGTTGCTCAGCCAGGGGTTTGAACCTCGGACCAGTGGTCTGGAAGCGCAATGCACTAACCACTCGGCCAATGGGCTTCCATTAATTTCGCATAAAAATATATATATATAATTTTAGAGATATTATAACAAAAAATACATACTCTTTTTTAAGTCTTTCATCATGTATCTTAGTACATACACCTAGATCAGCTTTAGTATTCACAAACAAGTCATTTGGACAGAACTTGACAAGAAAATGCTTACAAACCTAAAAATAAAAAAAAAATTTATGATAAATAATTTAATAATTCATCTTCAGGATAACCAAACTTTGAATTTTGAACTGCTTTGTGGATCAGAATCCAAAAAATGTAGAAGTGATTATCAAAAGCTTATAAAATAAAAACCATGAAAATTTTAACTACATAATCCAACCAATTATAAACAATTTTTTAAAATTTACTTTTGTTTTTTCACTCATTTTAGATTCATGATTGAATTTGAGACAAAAATAATACAAAATTATTTGAACCTATTCAATTTTTATTTTTGTTCTTCTTTTTACAACCTTTAAGTGTCAATGAATTTTCAAACAGAAAAAAAAATTAAAATGAAGAACAAAAGCAAAAATATTTTAACCATATTGGTTGTTTTTAAATTATAAGAAATTAAATATGCATTTGGATAGTTGGAAATTCTCCAATATAGTTCAATAATATTTACTATACATGAAAAATTTGAAATTTACAAATTATGTCATAAATAAAAGTTTCCGTAGAATGTTAACATGCTTTTAAAAAAAGAACCGGAACATAATTTTTAAAAAGACAAAATATCCATTATCAATGTCAGAATAAAAGAATAGTTGATTTAAAAAGGACATGGATACTTAGTAAACAAAATACAATCTTATCAATAACAAAATGAGCAGAAGATTTAAAAACGTGTTGTTACCGTTAAAATTTTTTCCGAATGCGTTCTTTCATGAGAGTTATTTTAACGGAACTCTTACACTAAAGTCTGGTAATTAAAGCTGAATTGAGTGAATGTAGATAGAAAAAATAAATATAACTAGTCAAACATTAATATGCCGATTATTTAAATAAGTTTTTTTAAAAAAATAAAGATGTCCGATTTCTATAAGGATTAAAATAAACCTACATCGGGTCCATCCCATGTAAAATCATTCTTTTTTTCCTCTGATCCCAAGTCTCGATCTCTTCCCATCAATTCATCAAGTAGCTGCTTAGCAAATGATAAAGCCATATTTATATAAAATAAGAATAAATAGGAAAAAAAATATGGAAGATTTTCATAGAGAATTTCACACAGACTATACAAGAGCTTATTCCCTATCAAACAAAGTAAATAGTTTTTCGATAACGATTACAGTTAGAGTTTCGAGATAGACAATGCATTTGTGGCAAAGTTTTTTCAAAAATAATACTCTCATTTTAACTATGAAAAAGGAAATATTTAAGAGAGCTAATAATTTGTAATCAATATTTCATTTCGAAATGTATTTAATTCTTTATTAACCGTTGTTAGTAGATAAATATTGTTTTCCAGCGAACTGCGACCAAATCACACGAAGTTTCTTTCTTGATACGGCCACGCGGATTGCATGCATTGAATTGCGTTATTGTGAAGAACTTTCGTGTGGAAGATTCCTTGATAGTTTTCGAATAATTTCAGAATGGACCAAAAAACAGAGGATCAAAGCACCCCAGATTCTTGGGAACAACATTCTGACGGTGCTTTAAATAATGTTGATGAAGATAGCAATAATTTATCTAAGCATTTTCTAGGACTGAACGTGGATGCACCGCCATTCGTTCCATCTTTTGCAACTTTAGCAGCAGCTCAAGCTGTACCTTCTAATGAAGATACTGAACCCAGTCCAGAAAAAGAAAAACAGCCTGTACCTGGTATGAAGTGTTTGATTCATGATGCATTTAAAATTGTTTCTATAACACTATATGTACTCATTAAGCCGGCGGGCATTGACATGCGATAGGAACACTGGCTTTTAACCATTGTAATTATCTGTATTCACAGTGAAGATTTTTTAAAATTATTTTATTAATATTTTTGCTTTGTTATATAGTACTTGCATTAATACTCACTCATGTTTCAACAAACTTTATGAATTTTCCCTTATTTACATCTACGACTTCAACCCTTAGTTGATTGCCTTTGTATATTTAACTGTTAATCTATTAGAGTTTACGTCGAAAAATGTACTATTAATGTATTTAAGATTGTCTCTGTGAAATTCTTTTACAATTTTTATTAAGTAATAAACAGTTTCCTGTTAATAAGTGTTCTCTTCACTGTTAAGCTATGTTATGAATGATTTTTTAATCAACTAATATATTTAATACGTAATACACAAATATTTTTCCTATAAGGATCATATGTCATTTAATCAGATTTTGTTTTACAACTTGTGAAAAGGTAGTATGTGAAGGATATTTTGATGTTATAGATTGTTTATTTTGAGTGCTATGACCCATGGATACATTTTTAATTTACTTTTCCTATTTTACGATTCAGTTCTGTCTATTAGAAACACTGGTTGAGCTCATTCCTTCTGATAGGACAGTAATATTTTAACACATTTTCCGTATCAAATTTTTTCAAGTCTTATTTTATATAATAAGTAGTGCCACCCATCTGGTATAGTAGTTGGTGAAATTGTCGAATCTGGCACTTCTCTGCCAAATTTTGAAAAATCGCCAATTTGGCGCGTTTGGGTGGATCCTAGACAAGCACACTGCTTGGCGACAAAAATTTTGGCGCCAAAATTTTAGGCGATAAAGTTTACAATCTGGAAACCCTTCCTGATTGTCCAGTCCGGTGGCTAAAATATGGTAACCCTAAAACCGGTCAAGCAAAAAAATCTGGTGAAAAGTGGACATCCTTCATTTTTGCCCTTGACCCTGCTGCAACACGTCGAGTTTCGACCCTGCTCATACTTTCTTCCCCACATGTTCCGATTTTTGGCTTGATTTTGCACCGGTTGTTAGAATGGCGTGTGAAAGAAAATTCCTTGAAAGCGAGGCAACCACAGGATTTTTTCTTTTGCTTGGAAAACAAGGGAATAAGGCTGTTTTAGATTGAGCCATGAAAGAAGGATTAATTCCCTCCAGATATGAGTGTCCGCGAAGTGTAAAAAGGATATGCGTTTGGTTGAACGAAAGGGTACGATTGATGGTTTTGAATGGCGTTGTCGAGTACAGTCGAAAGAGAATCCCCACTTTGTTTGCCGGAGTGTAAGAAAAGTTACGGGGTTTAGTGATAGTAGATTGAGTATTTGTGTGATCTTGCGATTAACCAAGTATTGGTTTGGCAAGAGTATGAATGAGTTTGTAGTGAATGATTTAAAAATTAACAAAAACACAGTGGTAGATTGGTATATGTTGTGCCGTGAGATTTGTATGGTTGCATGTGTAAATGAGAGCGCGAAACTTGGAGGAGAAGGAAAAATTGTGGAAAGTGATGAAAGCAATTTTTAAAATGCTTTTTTTCCTTTATTTTACTGCCTTTATCTCGTAAAAATGCTCTTTTTGCCCTTTTCTTTATCTTATGCTTTTGTGTGAATACAAGTGTTTTCAGCGTCCCTTACACCATTAGGGAAACCCTGTTCTTTAGGATTTTTCAAGAGGAGCTGAGACCGTCCCCCCTTTTCCTTCGTTTCCGGACCTGACACCATTAAGGAAACCCCGTTTTCTTAGGGTTTTTGATCACCAGCTAAGACTGGCAACCCCCGATTTTTCTTCGTTTTCGTCCATGGCGTCATTTTTTGAAACATGGCTTTTTGGCGAAAAAAATGGCGCCAAAAACAGAAGTGTGCTAGACTAGGATTTTACCGGCGCGTTTTTGCGTGTTGTGTTTCAGAGTTGCAACTCTACCACAACATGCAACGCCGGAGCGCGAAATTCAAGATGATGGAAGGAAAATCATTAAAAAATAGCATTTTAAAGTTCAGAAACTGAAAAATTGCTGCAAAAATCAGGCATTTAAAAATGGAAA